GCCCGAGACGGACCGATATACGGCACTGCCTAGTGTATCTACAAGTAGAACCTATTCCAAACACGTGCTCACACCTATACTCGAGAAGCAAACACCCTCTCCGCCTGAGACCGATGGAGAAACACTCTCTCCACCTGAAACCGAAGCGTCAACACCATATCCGCCTGAGACCGAAGTGCAAACACCCTCTCAGCTTGAAACGGAAGAGTCGACGACAGCCAAAGAAGATATCTATTCTAATCGGACTGCATCTATCAAGCGTCAATTGAGCTACCGCTCGAGTCTCGAAGAGGCGACCCTCGGACGGGAGAGCACGAGGAGTTCCGCAAGTTCACATCAGACGCTCTATGATACGTTCGATTCGCACGAGTGCTATCAGAGCGCGACTGAGCGGTTGCTGTGCATGGCAGAGAGCGGGAGAATGCTGCAGGTAGAGGCCGTCGTCGAGTCAATGCGGAGGCTAGACGGACCTCCTCTGTCTACCATATCGGAAGAGAGCATCAGTAAAGTGAATGATAGGGCTTTACAGAAAAGCTGCTCGAAGCTGTACAAGGAAATCATCAAAGCTAAGGGAGGGAACTTCGAGCAAATGCAGGATGTGGACAGTACATCCAGTCGGGCGTCGAGCGAGGCGACAGAGAAGCGGGTGGCGAGTGCTGCAGCGAGGCGGAAGGTGACGGCGCTCATAGAGCCAACAAGGAGGCACTCGCCCGAATCCTCACCTGGACAGACGACCAGGCGTGACAACGAGGCCGAGCTGACGTATCTGCGCCGGCGCAACAAGCAGCTGCGCCGCGAGTGCCTCATCTACTACCACAGGAATGGGAAGCTGCGCAAATACCCCAAGTACCCGAAGATCGATGCGCAGGCGTTGGGGTTTCAAGTAGCTGCCTACCGGGCACACGCGCGCCTCGCGCGCTGGCAGGTCCTGAGCGGAGTGCCTCAGTACTTTCACCAGGAGTACGATCGGAAGAATGGCTGGCGGACCTATCGGCGTATTCTGCTGGCCACCGCCGTGCCGCGCAGTGTGCTCCGACGGCCGGTAACGCCCCGACGCGCACGCCCTCGCGTGCCCCTTCGCTTGTCCGACATACTGCCTCTCAAACATATCTATACTGAGATGGGCGCCAGCCGGATGTGCTATGGCCACGGCATCTGGGCACAAAATATAACATTGGCAGATCACATGCAATGTAACCCTAGAACAAGCGTTGAATAAATTATTTTTAAATTTCCCTTGATCAAACTTAACGTAAATTCATTCATTTTAAATATAAATTAAGTACAAGACGTGTAATGTAAATTTTAAATTATAAATAAAGTAAATCAAATTTGGTCAGAAAAATAAAAAATAATATAAATAATTTAACGGAAGTGCAATATAAAACAAAAAGTAAAATTAAT